GAGGATAACCGCGGCGTTGAGAGATGGGACAGATCCTAAGGTGACAAAGGACCTTCAGGATAGCGGAGGGAGAAAAAAAAAAAAAAAAAAAAAAAAAAAAAATAGTGATTCTAGTGTAATGGTTGGGTTGTTATCTTTTAAGTAACAGGTCTAAGGTTCAAATCACACTTATAATAAAATTTGAAAAATTAATTTGTATTACAAAAAAACTGTTTCTTGTCGATTAGTTAGATTTAGATATCTATAATTTTGGATACAACTAATCAGGTTCTACTTGTCATTAGAAGCTCAAAGCATCTATGTAAAATGTAACATTATATATACATAGAAGAATGTTAATAACTAATATTATATAAGACTTCAGTACAAATTTATGATAAGACTACTAAATGTAAAAGACCAAAAAACTAAGAAAACAGAATTTTATTTAGAAATTTTTAAATAAATAAGTAGTATAAATCTTCAACAATGTTATCAAACTAATAGAATCTCAGAAAACTCTAATAAGAAATAAGTAGACATGTAATCAGATGGAAAGATATGTAGAGAAACATATAACCAATCAGGCTACTGAAATTATTAAAGAAAAAGAATACCAAAGATATATCATATTAGGTTATTTGAATTAGAAGTTTAAGGAATCTATTAAATTCTAAGTTGAATAATAGAAGAATAAAAAAGAAGAAATCAGAAAAATAGGTACTAAAGTTTGGATAAACTTTACAAGAGTAGAAATAGTATAATGTAATAGTTAAACAGGTAATCTCTGTGACTGCAAGTGTTAGGTAACTATAATGTATTATATAAAACTAGATCAACTATGTATAGAATATAAAAGACTCTAGTAACAATGTTTTTGAAAATACACTACATAAAAAAAAATATAAGATTCTAAAAGTATAAGTAAAAGTATCTAGACCTTTTTAACTAATGTATGTACTGAAGATAATCTAGTAACACAGTAATGATTGCAATACAGAAAGTTTAAATAAGCAATGCTCCTAATTGGGTTGCAAGCATAGCAGCTAATGTAGAACTATTAGCAGACTACTTAAATTAAACACCAAAAGTGTACATGTGACTAGTTGTACTTTCTAATGTAAGAAAACTTCTTTGAAACCTTGACCATGAATTCCTATGTCCTAACTACTGAATAAAAACCCTAGTCCCAAAAGAGGTTAGTTGAATAAAAAAAAATAATAATATAAAAAATATAAAAATCAATTTTTTGCAAAAATTTATTTTTTGTCAATTTGGTCTCTTTTTCTATATAATTAAAAACACAATAGAGGCGATAGCCACTGTTAACATCGACCTTAGTAAAAGCAAAAATAATAATAATAATAATAAAATTTTTACCAAATTTTATTAGATATTTATCAAAAAAACTTCACCAAAAGTTTTACTACCTATAAAAAAAATTGCAGCAAGTTTTTATTATGAATATTTCTTAGCGATTACCTCATTAAATTTGGAATTAAAATAAAAAAAATTTCATCAAATATTCGTTGAGATATCTTCGCTTAAAGTTGAAAAAAAAATTTACTAAAACCTTATTTCGACCCGGAATTTTGGTGATCCTCCCATAAAAAAAATTTAGATGACCCCTAACAATATGTTAAGTGCTAATGTTTTTAAAGCAACGCTTACACGAGCATATATTTTATTATATTTTATTTTTATCTATCACTACGAAGCTTAAGGATCCTATTAAAAAAATTTATATAATCAAGTCTCTAAAAGTCGTCTACTTCAAAAATGACCTCTAATTCATCATACGAGTCCTCTCTTCCACCGTCGCAACCACAAAAAAAGAAAACTTCAACACAAATCTATTTTGAAGGCCGTCCATTACCTGATAATTTAATAAATTTTTCTTCACCGACTGGGAAAGAACTTTTTAAACAGGCACTTAACGAAGGCTATGCAGAAGGTTACTTTAATCTGTCTAGTTGTTTTGCACATCAAATGGATCCCGCTTTTTGCGGGTTAAGCTCTTTATCAATAGTCCTTAACGCTTTACAAATTAAGGGTGCACCTGTATGGAAAGGTCCGTGGCGCTGGTGGTCAGATGAACTTTTGATTTGTTGCACACCTATAGAAGAAGTTAAGAAAAATGGGATCACTTTTTCTCAGTTCGCGTGTTTAGCAAAATGTCATTGTGAGGTTATTGTTAAACGCGCAGATCGCATATCAAAGGAAGAATTCATTGCAGATTTGAAGAATGTTTGTTCACGTTCAGACGTTTATATGGTGATTTCATTTTCTAGGGCTGCTATGAAACAAACTGGGGATGGTCATTATTCACCAATTGGAGCATACAATTCTGAGAAGAATATGGCTTTAGTATTAGATACTGCAAGGTAATAAAACGGTTATGGCATGATCTCCTGAAAGTTATTTACCCGCCAACTCATTTCTCTGACACCGTAACGCCGACATGCTATTTCATCTACGACACATTTTTATTTTTGTTTTCGACAATCATTTCCTCGACATAAAATTGACCCGATTGTCAAAGAAAGGATTGTCGAAAACATGTAATGTCAAATATGTCTTATCGAAAAAATGCGCTGTAGATAAAATAACATGTCGGCATTACAGTGTAGGGGAAATGAGTTGGCTTCATAGGCAGAAGTTTGTCTGATTGGCTAATAAATTCAATTTAATTTTACATTATTTATACTGTTTAGAGTACTTTT